TAATTGTAGTTCTGGCTATGTTGTTTGCGACATCTTGTGCAACAACAATGACGCCTATGCAGGTAAACAATACTTTACCTACTATGACAAAGTCAAAATTTATCTCACAGGCTCAAGCAGATGAGAACGTAAAAGGCAATGGCTGTAAGTATTTGGTAAAAAATAGAACCTATGTTGCACCTGTAGGACTTACTACTAAACGAGACTTAAAATATGGTGCTCAGGGAATTGATGAGTGGGTTAAAGTTGATGGTGGTAACGCCTATATATTGAGAAACTTTCAGTGGGTTATAGTAGATGACAACGGCAATACTCAGCTTCACATTGACTTTGACACAATGCTTTGTGACTAATTTTTTAAAGATGAATGATAGCCTTAAACACATTCAAAGAGCTGACACGCATCAGTAAGAACCTCACCTCGTACTTAGTCAGACACGCGTTTGTATTACTATGGCTTTTAGTAATGGTCTGCCTATTGAAACCGTTTCGCAAATGCTGGAACAAACTAAATTGAATATGACTCAGGTTTATGCTACGGTGCTAAAGAGAAGGTATAATGCCTCCTTTAATTAATTTGAATTAATACACCAGTTAAATCGTTAAAGGAAATATTCTCTTTATGATCAGTTAAATCAAACTTCTTTGTATCAGGGTTTTCATATAATTTGAATACGTTTAAAATGACAATATCAGCATTATTTGTTCTTATATTTTCAAATGCTTGGCTTTCCGCAATCTCCCAAATTTCATTTGTAGTTGCATAATATTCATTTCCTTCTCTCTTTTTGAGAATTACATAACCACTTGTGTTAAAGCTAAAATCGTTCATAGCATTAGTTATTTAGTTTTATAAGCCTGCCACGCTGAAGCTAGAGCTGCAACTATTGACACTATAAGTGCAACAATTGAAAGGAGTTTTGCAAATTTAGAATTTTTTAGAGCATCCTTGGCCTGAGCTGTTGTCGCAATTAAATTGTCTTCAATTAAATGTTTGTGTCGACGTTCTATCTCATCATGTTCCCGTTTTCCCCTCACCTTGTCATCGACATAGCCGCCATAACCCCCACCCTTATTAGATAAGAACCAAGCTACATCAGACCTTGAACTTTGTGGTATCCAAATACTGTGCGTTGACGTATTAAAATTGTCAGATAATCCAAGGAAATGATAATCCATAGGTTCAATAAATACATAATTAGGAGATATGCTTTTTATGTGATTTACATAGTCTATTACTACTTCTTCACTAAGATTAACGATCTCTGATATTTGCCTAGAAGGAACTCTTGGATTTTCCGAGTTTAATAACTCAGTTAGTATTTGGTCAACTTTTCCTACTACGTACGCCATAATTTCTTATAATTGTAAAATGATTGATTACCTAAGGTAATACTTATACTAAAAATAGAACTTAACTGTAGTGTTTAATAATATTCTATACCCCTCGTAATCCTTTATTAAGCATTTAAGTAATTCTATGCCATATTGCCTAATTAGTCATATTGCGCCAATAGGCTAACTATAACCTTATTGCTATTACCTTTTAATTATAAGTTATGTGGTCCGATAATGAAACGTCAGAAGACCTTCTTGGATTTAAAATTCATGCTGATCTTCTTATTAATGTTATTAACGATGAAAAAGTTTTGCCAGTTACCATTGGGGTATTTGGTGACTGGGGGAGTGGTAAATCAAGTATTTTAAAAATAATTCATGAGGACCTTAAAGGTGATAATGAAGATGACTTAAAAAACGATACTCTTGTATTATACTTTAATGGGTGGGTTTTTGAAGGTTATGATGATGCGAAGGCGGCGCTATTGGAAGCAATTCTGGAAGCATTTAAAAAACACAAGAAAATTGGCCACTTGGTTAAAGATGAGACTATAAAGATGTTGAAATCTGTAAAGTGGATGAGAGTTCTTGGTCTCGGATTGAAAAAAATTGTTTTACCTGCAGCCACTGCGTTCGCTACAGGGGGATTATCATTAATCCCTTATTTAGCGCAAGAGTTAGGCAAAATCGATCATAAAACACTATCAGATAAACTTAACGGTGAAGATGGAGAAAATTTTCTGAAATCTCTCATAAAGGATGAAGAGAACGATACTCAAATCATCAGGGAATTTAGGAACGATTTTGAAAAATTAATTGAAAAATCAAAAATCAAAAAATTAGTTGTAATCATTGATGATTTGGATCGTTGCACATCTGATAGAATCATCGAAAATCTTGAAGCCATAAAACTTTTTTTAAACGTTCCTAAGACCGCATTTATTATAGGTGCAGATCCGCGTATAGTTCGTCATGCAATAGAACATAGATATAAAACAGACAAAATTGAAGGTGCCAGCGATGAGGACACTAGAAATAAACGGATTGTAAGTGACTACTTAGAAAAGCTCATTCAAATACCATATAATTTACCAAGGTTATCAGATGCTGAAGTTGAGACTTATATGACTTTGTTGTTTTGTCAGAAAGAGTTGGAAACAAGCTATAGTAACGTTCTAGC